AATAATCTATTCCAAAAAAATTTCATACATTTTACATCGGTTATTAGTAAAACTGATGTAAAAACTTTCAAAAAGGGACTTTTTACATCGGTTGGCAGTAATACCCGATGTAAAAAGTCGCGTCACTAGGGACTTTTTACATCGGGTATTACTTCCAACCGATGTAAAAAACTGGATCAATTTTTTAAAAAAATGTGCATAATAATTGTTTTTTACATCGGTTCTTATATTATAACCGATGTAAAAAAGGTACTTTTTACATCGGGTATTACTTCCAACCAATGTAAAAAACTGGATCAATTTTTTAAAAAATGTGCATAATAACAGGTTATTACATCGGTTCTGATATTATAACCGATGTAAAAAAGGGACTTTTTACATCGGTCCCAGAACCGATGTAAAAAGTCCCTGATTTACTATATCACCTGACTTTACATCGGATCCAAAACCAATGTAAAAAGTCAATTTTACCCGATGTAAAAAGTCATTTCTGCACTAGTGAGAAGTGGATTGGAGATAAGAAAAGTGTGAGTTATTTCAGGGTATTTGGTTCATTTTGTTACAAACATGTTCCATGTGCTACCAAAAAGAAGCTGGATGATAGAAGCAAAGTAATGTTGTTGATTGGTTACCACAGTACATGTGCTTATAAGCTCTATTGTCTAGGAAATAATAAGGTTAAAGTCAACAGAGACGCCATTGTGAATGAATCAGAAGCATGAGATTGGAATAAGTCTCAATCCAACTCTGGTGCAACGTTAACATTTGAGGTAACTTCAAAAGATACTTCTGAATCTGAAGGGAATTCTGATTCTGAAGATGAGTCAGAGTTTAAAGGTGACTCTGAAGAGGAGTCTGAATCTGAAGGTTAATTTGATTTTGATCTAAATTTTGGTGATGATCCAGAATCTGGTGGTAATCCAACCTCTGACGGGGGTCATGCTTTTAAAGGTGGAACTTCTGAAGGTGGTCCAACTTCTGAAGGTAGTCCAACATCTTATATTGTTCCAGCATATGGATAAGATTCTGAACAAGTTCAGAGGCCATAACAAATTAGACAAATACCAAGAAAATTCACAAAGTTTGACATATTGCAATATATTGAGATTGATTCTGAAGGAGAAGTCATTTAGTGTGTCATGTTAGTAGACTCTGAACTAGTTAGTACTGAAGAAGCTCTCAAGAAAAAGTGTGGTTGAAGATCATGAAAGAAGAACTTAAGGCTATAGGAAGAAACAAGACTTGGGAGTTGATTGAGCTTCCAAAGGAGAAGAAAGCCATCAAGGTCAGATGAGTTTTCAAGATAAAGTTAAAGCTAAATGGATCAATTGGCAAACACAAAGCAAGGTTAGTAGCTAGAGGATTTCTACAGAAATCTAAATTAGATTACTCTGAGGTGTTTGCGCATGTAGCTAGACATGGAACAATCATATTGGTTATTGCAATAGCTGCAAATAGAAATCGGTCTCTGATGCATTTAGATGTGAAATCCTCCTTTCTAAATAGTCTATTACAAGAAGAGGTATACATGTCACAACCTCCTGTATTTGTGAAGAATAACAAGGAATGAATAGTGTATTGGTTACACAAAGCGTTGTATGGAGTCAAACAAGCTCCTAGAACTTGGAATTTGAAAATTGATTCATTTTTCAAACTTCAAGAATTCAGAAAATGTGAGATGGAGCATGGCTTTTATGTTTAGTATATTATGAAAGCAATATGATTTTGTTGTGTCTCTATGTTGATGACATATTTCTAATAGGAAGTTGTTCATATGAGATAGTCAAGTTCAAGAAGTTGCTGATTAATGAGTTTGAGATTACTGATATAGGAAATATGGTATATTTTCTAGGGATGAAAATTTGTACTCTGAGAAGGTATAATTTTGCATCAACTGAAGTATGAACTTGAACTTCTGAAGAGATTTGAGTTAACATTTGCAAGCCTACAATCACATCTGCTGAGACAAATCACAAGTTGTATTATGATGTTGAGGGTGATGATGTAGATGCTACAACTTTTAAACAGTTGGTTGGCTCATTGAGATATCTCTATAACATCATACCTGATATTTGTTATGCAGTTGGAATAGCTATTAAATTTATGAACAAACCAAAATGGTCACATTACCAAGCTACTGTCAGAATAACGAGGTATATTAAAGAGACTCTGAGGTATGGAGTGTTGTTCATTTCTGGTGTTAAATCTGATTCAGAGCTAATATACTATTTAGACTCTAGCGTGGAGACAAAGTTGACAGAAGAAGTACTTCTGGGTATTTTTTCAAGTATCTGGAAAGTCTCATTTCTTGGTGCTCCAAAAAGCAATATGTGATTGCCTTATCAACTTGTGAAGCTGAATATATTTCAGGTGCTTTATCTACGTGTCAAGCTGTTTGGCTCATGGACTTATTGTAGGATCTAAAAATTAAGGTGAGAAAGCCTGTGAGATTGATGATTGACAATGAATAAGCTATAAGTCTTGCCAAGAATCCAGTGATGCATGAAATGAGCAAGCATATTGACACGAAGTATCATTTTATGAGGAATCAAATTTAGAATGGAATGCTAAAAATTGTGCATTGTAGTACTCAAAAGTAATTTGCAAATGTTCTGACTAAAGTTATAAAGACTGAACACTTTATCCGAGGGATGAAATTAGTGTTGTAGAGTTAATTAACTAAATATGAATTAAAGGATGATGTTAGAAATAATTCATATTCAAAAGTTGTTGTTAGAGTCAGAAGTTTTTGAGGCTATTAGTCATAAACAGTCGCTTATGAGGATGTTAATTAAAACCTTCTTCTAGAAGATGTTAGCTTAGCTTAACATAGTTTCTTTTGTCTACGTTGTTGTTTAATTTTTGTGTATTTAAACAAGTTTGTTACAGTGAAATCATAATTGATTTTTTTACCATTGAGAGTTTATAAGATTTTTCTATCTTCTCTCTCTTCTTCCATCTTCATCTTCATCTTCATCTTTATCTTTAACCTTGTGTACCAACAAAAAAAGCCCCTTTTTATCAAATATTTGTTAAATTTAGAAAGAGAATTTCTTTTTCTATCTGGTGTCTTCTTGCAGGCCCCTGAAAATTCGAAAATATCATTCAGATGTGCATATCCGAACGCACATTGCGAATTTAAGATATTGGTTATTTCGAATATGCATATCCGAACGAACCCCTATGTTTAATTTTTAGGGAGATTTCGAATATGCATATCCGAAATAATCCAACATCCTAAATTTTTTTTATTTTGATTTTATTTTGAAAAGATATTTATTTATAATATAGTTATAGTATAATTAAATTAAGTTATTATTAATAAAGAACAACTTAAATTTACAATTGAAAACTAAATATTAAAGTAAATTTATGATATAAAATTAAACAGTGAATGCAATAATTAAATTTTTAATTATAATAGTGAAATGTAATTGTTTTTTAATTTTTCATTTAAAATTATGAATAATTTTTTATAAAAATATTTCTTAATTGTAACTTTAAAAATTAAATTAAATTTAGATGACACTTTTTAATTTTTATTATAGAATTGATAATTAATTATTATATTATAATTATAAAATTATTATATTAAAATTAAACAGTGAATGCAATATATATATATGTAAACAAATTTTTAAAAAATTTAAATTTAATGCGTTCAAATGCGTCTAAAATTTAAAAATATTTTAAGTTGTTTTGCCAGAAACTTGTAAGAAGATAATTCTCATTTAAAAATGATGTCCAAATTAATCATCAAAAGAGAAAATTATTGAGCTCGTGTAATTATAAACAAGGAACTCTAGAAATTAGATGAGAACGTTGGAGTGCCAATTCTTTCAAACCTTACAATAATTTGTTTAGATATGCGGCGAAGATATTTTTCTTGCATTCCAAAGATAGTTGACATGGTTGGTTTAGAAGCAATAAATTAAGCGTTCAAAAGATAGTTGAAATGGTTTTTTTGAAGCAATAAATTAAGTTATAGATTGATACAAAATAAAAACATCGCAATAGTGTACTAGTGTCGTGTGAATACCGCCTACAATAGAAACACACATCCCAATACACGTTTGATGTAAGAATCATGAAGCTAAATTTCTACTTGTGTGTTTGCCACCTCTCATCCTAATTTTTAGACCTATTTTGTACATATTATGTACAAAAGGAAAATAAATACTGCACCTTCCAAATTTTCAAATTGAATTCGATTATCATATTAATTATGTCTATTTGGTGTCAACTACAATTCACTCAACTAATAAATTGAAGCTTTAAATTCAACTGGTTCAACTAGAGTAGTCAACACAACTAACCAACAAACTTGAATCTAAATTAAACACCCTGCAATGTGGTAGTCATCTCTATTTCTTTTTCTCATAATTTCCTCAATTGATATAGTTTTGAAAATTTAAACACAATAGCATAACATTAAATGGAGTGAAGAAATTGAGAAAACTCATAGTAAGTTGCAAGATATAAAGATGACTTGATAGCTAAAATGGATGAATTAAAGAGTAGTACAGTAGTAATAATATCCATGATTCGATCATGCAAGCCACGTGTCAATCATATACGGTTACCCGATTAGTAGAATTAAAATCTTGATGACCAAATCATGAAGTTTGGTATGTACCATGCAAAAACAATTTATAAGAGGCCATATAATTGTGGACCATAGGAAAAATAACTAATAGGAGATTATATAAGACATGATAGAAATAATTAACTGAAGATTCATGCAAAATAAAATCACTTGATAAACTGGTATACATTTTACATGAAAAATTTCCCAGACTGAAGGGTTAACCATCAGGAAAAAACGGAAAGTTCAAATGGAAAAACACGTTGTATTTGTAATGACCCGTGAGTCTCGGTAAATATAGAAAAATTAATCAAATTACATTATTAATGGCAGCACCAACTAGAAACAAGTGTTGGAAGAAAACCTGCATCTAACACTATCTTGATGGCCTAAAAGCAAACATATCATCGCTGTGTTATAAAGTTGTTGCAAAACCTGTCATAATATCAAGTAAATGTTAAGATTCTTGTGTATTAAAGAAAGCTTCTTAGGTATTTCAACAACTGATTTGGTAGCACTAATTTTGATCATTAGGTTCTGCAGTCAATATATGCCAATGAATAAAGAAGCACAATAATATAGATTAAAGACATTCACATCATATCAAACTATATTGATGATTTAAGTGAAGGAAGTAAGTACTATTATGATTGGATGCATAAAATAAAAAGATTTCCAGGAAACAACTTTTGCCATCATTTAAAGAAAAAAAATAGATAAGAAAATACAAAATAATTAATAACTATTATCAATGAGTTCTGCGCAGTCTACAGTTCTGTTGCCAACCTTGTCCATCATACAAGTCAACCTTGTCTTCATTTTGGTCTAGTTGTAAATGTAAACTTAGGAATCTATAACATGATAGGAAAATGTAGGTGTGAATTTTTTCCATCCCTCAACATAACCTATTGGCCTCTCTGTTATCTAGCATTGCACTTCTCAGCCTAGCCACGGATCACAGACAACCCTCTCTGCCTAATGCTACGATCTTTACAACAATGCTTTCTGTATCAGTAACTCTAGTTTTTTTTTTTTTTTTAATTCTGAAACTGAAAATAATGGGTGGTGATGTTCAAAGTTTTTCCAATTTCAGTTTTCACAAATGCACAAAAAGATCCCAAACCATTAGTCAACATCACCATTATGCCAAAGCGTTGATATGGATCTTCATCTTCCCCCCACATTGGCTCAAGCAATACAACACGGTCAAGATCAAACATTTAATAATATCTTGGCAACATGAATGTGACAAAAATCCTACTGCATAGGATCAATTTCAATGCAACATAACTCTCCACAGCTTTGCCTATTATTTTGCAGGTTAAGACTCTCAATTCTCATCTATTTTTCCTTCTCGTCATTAATATATATGCATCATAGAGTAATGCTATATATTGTTTTAGAGGATAATTTTAAATTTAATTTCCTTTTAAATATGAATCATGGGGTAGTGATAATAATGAATGGTTGAGATTTAATTATTGTCCTTCTTTCATACTTTCTTACTACTAAGCATCATACATGCATATACTATATTTGATGGAGCCACTATAAAGTAGTCATTGCCGATTAAATTGGGTGAATAGTGGAGAAACGGTTACAAAGAAACTGACCAGAAAATAAATGTGAGAAGAAAATACAGTAGTGTACTGTAAAGTGTCAAATATCATTGTAGCCAAACTTTTCCCTAATATAAGAAACTAGAAGCCTTGTGACAAACTATGAAATTACAAATGTTGGCAAATGAATTTAATTGCCTTAATATAATTGTGTTGTTATAAGAATAATATTGAAAATAATATCATAAACAAACTTCTTCTAAGCACAAAACAAAACTCGTTGGAGCCTTTTTCTTTATTGTTTTAACTTTCACTTTCTTTCTTATGATCTTTTCATTACAAGTAATAACAATTATTTATAACAATTGAGAAAATGCATATTTTGCTTTTCCTAAACAATTTATGGCTTTCTTTGAAACTAACTAACCATTCATGGCTTTCTTTCTCTTATTGACTTTTCCAAATGTCAAATTTATATTATCTAACACAAGTCAACGTCGATAATAATTTTTAAAAATGAATAAATTAAACACAATCACAAGTATTGACATTGACACTGACACGTCAACGCTATGAAAACTTTCATCTAAGTTGTAAAATAGTTCTTTATTCCCACTTAAATGGTTACTGCAACCATTAGTTATCATGTTTATCGGCTACAACATGACATGTTGTAAGCACCATTTTCATCATCTTCAATTTCTGATGTATTCTATGTACCTAATATATGTCAGAATCTCTTGAGCGTTGGATCTCTTAAGCGTTGGACAACTTGTTGAGAAAGACTATGATTTAAACTTCAACAAAAGAGGTTGCACTATCAATGATGCTGAATGGGTCTTATAGCAAAGACAAATATGTCAAGAAATCGTCTATTTCCAATGAACATCAAGTATGATGATGATATGTGTTGCAAAGTTGTAGCTATTGATGATAATTGACTTTGGCACATGCGTCTTGGACACTTCAACTTTGAAAGCATAAAGTTTCTTGCAAATAAGAAATGGGTTACTGGCTTACCTGTTATCCAAGTTCCTGACCAACTATGTGAAGCTTGTGTAGTAGGAAAGAAGCATCGAGATCTTTTTCCTAAAGGGAAGGCATGGAGAGCTACAAAACCACTTGAGCTTGTGCACTCTGATTTATGCTAAGTGGAAGTACCATCCAACGGAGGTAATAAATATTTTATTACTTTCATTGATGACTTTAGTAGGAAGACGTGGGTTTATGTTTTGAAAAATAAATCGGATGCTTGTGATGCACTCAAAAGATTTATGGTGTATGTTGAAAGACGAAGTGGTTATACTCTGAAAACCTTAAGAACTGACAGGGGAACATAGTATATTGTATGTGATGATTTCTTGAGAAAGCATGGAGTTAAGCATCAAATGACTGCAAGATACACTCCTCAACAAAATGGAGTGGCAGAAAGAAAGAATAGGACAATCATGGATAATGTGAGAAGCATGCTGCATTGCAAGAATTTACTCAAGGGTTTTTGGATCGAAGCAGTGACTTGTGCAGTATACCTTTTAAATAGGTGTCCAATGAAAAGTATACGTGATAAAACTCCACAAGAAGCTTGGAGTGGACCAAAGTCAAATTTGAGTAACTTGAAAGTTTTTGGTTGTATTGCTTATGTGCATGTTTCAGATCAACTGAGGAAGAAGCTCGATGACAAGGTAGAAAAGTGCATCTTTGTAGGATATAGTGAAGAAACAAAAGCCTACAAATTGTACAATCCAGAAACTAAAAAGGTAGTCATCAGTAGGGATGTTACCTTTGATGAAGATGGATTATCGAATTGGTCAGAAAAGAAAAAAGAGTTGTTGCATGTACCAGTTACTATAAATGAAGAAGTAGATGATAAAGTTAATGAACCATCCACTAAACCAAGATTTGATTAACCATCCACTAAACCAACACGAGACTCACCACCTCGTAGATATCCACAACGGGAGCGTCATCCTCCTCACTTGAAAGATTATGAAGTTGGTCAAGATGATATGGAGGAAGAAACTATTTATTATGCCTTATTTGTTGATTGTGATCCTGTGACATATGAGGAAGCAACCAATAAAGATTATTGAACGGAAGCAATGGATGAAGAAATTCATGCAATTGAGAAAGATAATACATGGGAGTTAACTACACTTCCAGAAGGAAAGAAGCCAATTGGAGTCAAGTGGGTGTACAAAACTAAGTACAATCCAAAAGGAGAAGTAGATCGCTTCAAAGAACGATTAGTAGCAAAATGGTACAAACAAAAACCCGACATTGATTATTTTGAAGTTTTTGCTCCAGTTGCTAGAATGGACACGGTACGCATGATTCTTTCCCTTGCTATCCAAAATCAATGGAAGATATTTCAGATGGATGTCAAGTCCGCCTTCTTGAATGGTGTGCTTGAAGAAGAAGTTTACGTAGAACAACTGCCAGGTCATTTGCAAAAAGGAAATGAAGGTAAAGTGTACAAGTTGAAGAAAACACTGTATGCATTGAAGCAGGCGCCTAGAGCTTGGTACACACCTATTGACACATATTTTATCAATAATGGATTCCATAGAAGTCCATATGAGCATGCTTTATACGTCAAAGTAAACAGGGATGAAAAAAATGTTGTTACTGTTTGCTTGTACGTGGATGATCTTATCTTCACCGGTAACAATAATAAATCGTTAGCAGATTTTAAGTAGAGCATGTCCACTCAATTTGAAATGGCAAATATGGGCCAAATGTCTTATTTTCTAGGCATTGAAGTGAAGCAAACAAATGAGGGAATTTTTATTTCACAGAAGAAATATGCATCAGATATTCTAAAGAAATTTAAGATGGAATCATGTAAATCAATGCTGACTCCAGTGGAAGAAAGATTGCAATTAGAAAAAGAAAGTGGCGGTGATCTTGTCAATTCAACAATTTTCAGAAGGCTAGTGGGAAGCCTCAGGTACTTGACAGCAACAAGACCTGATATAATTTATGGAGTTGGACTTATAAGTAGATTCATAGACTTGCCAAGACAATCACATTGGCAAGTTGCAAAGAGAATTTTGAGGTATGTCAAAGGAACAATTGATGAAGGAATTTTTTATTCAAGTTCTACCAAGCCAGAGTTGATTGGATACACAAATAGTGATTGGACAGGTGAAACTGAAACTCGAAAAAGCACTTCGGGTTATGTTTTCCGTCTCGGTATAAACGTGTTTTCTTGGTCATCTAAGAAACAACAAGTAGTTGCTTTGTCAGCAGCAGAGACAGAGTACATAGCAGCAACAAATTGTGCTACTCAAGCAGTTTGGTTATGAAGAATATTAAGTGAATTACAACATCATCAAGATGGTCCAACAATAGTATTATGCGACAACAGATCAACGATTACTCTAACAAAGAATCCAGTGTTTCATGGACGTAGTAAACATATTGACATTAAACATCACTATATTCGAGACTTGATAAGAGATAAGGAAATTCTGGTGGAGTATTGTACTTTGAAAGATCAAATTGCTAATATTTTTACAAAACCACTAAAAACTAATTTATTCTTGAAGATGAAGAATTTGCTAGGAATGATGAAGCCAAATTTAAGGGAGAATGTTACCTAATATAAATTTGGCATTTGGAAAAGTCGATAAGAGAAAGCATGAATGGTTAGCTAGTTTCAAGGAAAGTCATAAATTCTTTGGCAAAAACTAAATATGCATTTTCTCCAATGCTATAAATAATTTTTATTATTTGGAATGAAAAGATCATAAGAAAGAAAGTGAAAATTAAAACAATAAAGAAATAAAGAAAAAGGCTCCAGCGAGAGTTTTATTTTGTGCCAATTAAATTCATTTTCCCTGTCAGCGTTAGTGTCAATGTTATGTTTCCGGAGTACAAGTAAAAGCAAATGATGCAAAAGTTAGAATAATACCTTCTGAAAGACAACCCCAGTTGTTATTGTGCAAAGACAATAGAGAAGTGAACAATGCAGAAGCAGTGGCACTATGCAATGGCGTCAATGAGACTTGTGCACCAGCCAATTGCACCGGGAGCCTAATAAACAACCGTAATTACAATTATTCGATTTAGACGCATTTATGAAAATTGAAATGAATAAATCTAGTTTCAGTGTCATGAAATTTACCAGGAGTTGGAGAGTGAGCGTTTGAGAGGGGAAGCTTGAAAAGAAGAAGCGGAGGAGTTGAATTTATTGGGGTTTGAAGAAGATGAAGGTAAAGTAGAACGACGAGATAATAGGGTTTTGGCTGAAGATGAAGCTATTTGGAGAGATTTCCGAACACAGTTCGACGACACCGCCATTTTGTGTAGTCAGTGTGGTACGAAGGAGTCGCCGAACAAGGGGTTTGTCGTTTGGGCTGGGTCTAATCAAACGGGTCTTTCTATCCACAACAAAAAACGGGTCTTTAATGTCTAAAAGAAAATTTTATATCAATACCCCCATCAATTATACCTTCACCCCTACAAACTATAAAATTCAAATTCTCTCATTAAAGTTTTTTTAATAAATAAAAGTTTAGGTGAATAAGACTAAAAAGCTCTTACCATGGTTATCATTTAACTTTTATGTAATAATCCGATCCAAATTTAAGAAGACTTATGGACTCTGTTGGAAATTCAAGGAAAATCAAAGGTAAAATGATTTATCCCTTTGAGCTACTTAAATACCAAATTGAAAAAACTAAGTCTCATTTTCTCATTTCTTCTCGCCACATTAGAATTTGGAAATCAAGGAAAGAGTGTGAGAGGGAGAGGGAGATTAAGAGAGAGCTAAGGGAGGATGAGAGGGAAAAGTCCAACTTCAAGTCACTTTCATGGTGTGCATGTGTGAGAATATTGAGGTAGATTTCATTAGTTAGAGGGATTTAGCCCTAGCTGTGATTTGTTGCATGTGGGATTTTGGGGAATTTCAATTGCATGTGTGTTTATGGTTATGCCATTATGTTTGTGTTGCAATTAGATGACTTTAACATGCCATCCATGATTCTTGTTGTCATGTGTGAAATTTACATGTTGAGTATTATCTTTGGAAATTATATCATAAATTACTCCTTGAAATTCTAGATGCATGATGGAATGTAATAGTTCATATAATGATGTTTTATGCATTATAGTTAGTAACTCGTGATGTTATGTTGTGTTGATGTTGATGTTGAATGTTGAGTTGTGTTATTGATTTTTCACTTCCTGGATTTCCTTTTCTTATGTCCTGTTCTGATACGCTCGCTTAGCGACAAATGGCTGACTAAGCGAGACTTCGCTTGGAGTTAGCTTTGACATGGTTAAGCGAGACTGTTGTATTGGGGAAACCTAGTCATTTTGACTTGCCTCACTTGGAGCTCACTTTGACCCGACTAAGCAAGACTACTGGTACAAAAATTTAGTGGCACTGGAAATAGTGTATCTCGAGTTTCGTAACTCTGTTTGAGACGTCTCAATTGCATTAAAAAGCTAAGACAAATAACTTTAACATAGTGGAACTTGCATGACCTTTTTCCCTTCCTACAATAGTGGTAAGTTTAATAGATTTTCCACCATAATTTGCAACTCCTATAAAGTATGAATAACCTTGAATAAAGTGAGGATAAGAGAGTAAGTTCCAAGAATCAGAAAAAGGTAATGAGTAGCATATTTCTCTGAGAGTTGACTCACAAAAGTGAGACACACATATCACACTTCTCATAAGGGTAACTCCTAAAAGTAAGACCCGCTTAGGTAATTTCTCTGGAGGTTAACGCCCAAAAGTGAGACAAACCTGATACCCGTGGGTTATTTCTTTGAAGACTAATTCCCAAAAGTGAGACAAACCTGATACCCTAGTAACTTCTCTGAGGGCATTAGTCCTAAAAGTGAGACAACCTCTCGGACAGTGGATTAGTTGATCATGACGAGGATTCATCTAGTATAATCATGAACTTCTTGTTTCTCCTATCAAGGTTAAGTGGAAAGATGAATTTCACTAGTATTAAAGTAATTATACTTCGAACTCAGTTTTAGGGGTAAAACCACATTAGACTATAGTGATTAATCTAGTAACCATGTAGAGCCCAGTGGACTCATAAGATAAGAGAACCTGCTGAGATTTATTAATTTCACCCCATGTTGCTAATTATCTTTCAGGTGCACTATAGAAGTTGGAAGTTTCGCTACAAGGCCTAAATTAAAAGCTTTGGTGATCAGATGGCATGAAGACCGTACCTAATTCGTTGTCCGCTATGTTTATTCTTCTGTAATTTTGTATTAGACATTTTCATTGTATACACAACTTAATTATAGTTTTGTAATGTATACGTCTTGGAATGTCATTTATCAGCTTTTGTATGTGTTGTACCCCAAAATTTCCCCTCCCATATTTCTCAAGACATGTCAAGAATCATCTCCAAGTTGTTCAAGATGGCTCAAGAGTTGGACAGTCAAATCACCTCCTAAGGCAGTCAATTCAAAATTAGAGTTTTGTGTTGTATCAAGGTCCTCACATCCAAATGGTCTCAAATGCTCCCAATGTCCTAATATGTTCTCAAGTTCATCCATGTCAAATTTCAAGCCTTGCAGAGAAAGTTTGGTCAGTCAATTGCTCAAGAAGTCCAAAAATCGACTATGCTAGGGCAAAAGCCAACTGTGACCTAAATACAGTCAAACCTCAAGATTTTTTGCCAACATTCTCATTTTGAAGGATAATTCATCACTTGATCAAGGGTCGATCATGATTCATCAAGGATTGCTCAAGATTCATCAAGATTCAAAAGTTGCTAAAATAGGGTTTTGTAGGAAAAGTCAACTCAACTTTGACCAAGCATAACTTTCTCATACTTTATGATAAATGACCCATCCAAAGCTAATTTTGAATAGGATTCAATTTCCTACAATCCATCTTCACACCCCAAGATCAAGAAATGCTCTCACAAAAAGTTACAAATTTGGACATTATAGGTCATTTTTGAAAGTCAACAAAAACACCTTTTTTGCCAATGCTTATAACTTGAGCATGGAATATCAAAATTAGATGACATCAAAAGGGTTGGTTAGAGGACATCTCAAGGTTTCTAAAAAGTCCATGAACACCTCCAAAAGTTAAAAATTGAAGAAGTTATGCATTGTTGAAGTTGGGCATTTTTCCAAAATTGTCAAAAGTCAACTATCCTCAAAACTCCAACTTTTGACAAAAGGGCTCACTTTTTTCCACTTGATATGATCTTGTCACACCACACACGTGTCATATCTTCAATTTCATGACCAATCATTTATTTTTCTATTTTATTTGGTTTTTATTGATTTAATTCATTTTAAATCAATATTAACTCAAATAAAATCCAAAAATTAATGGAATGAGATTTTTTTGATCATTACAGGTCTTCATTACCAAGATACACCTAATCAAATTCGTATCAAGCATTGTTGTGCACAAAATATCAGATTTGGTACAATTTTGGAAACTTTATCAATGGTGATCATATCAAATCCCAAACCTTGAATGCACATGGATTGAAAGCCCAACTCTTGACCTAATTCATTCCCTTATACACACATAAGCTAGGCATACAAAGAATACGGGCTAAGGACTGCAAAAATGGCCAAACCAGAATTGAAAAAAGCTTGCAAAAGTGTGAGATTAAAACCTTGGTTAGAGCACGATTAAACCCAAGATCTCAACGTAGCTCCCTTGCCTGACATCCAGTGGAGCCAAAGAAATCAAAACCAGGCCTTCTCCCTCCCTGAAACACGCTGTATGTATCCACGAATATGGCTCTGTGCACGAATTCATAACCTTGGATTCTTGCGTCTTTTTGCCAAAATATTGATATATTCTTGATCCTTGCATAATTTCTAAGCATTTTGCATTGTTTAATTTTGTTTTCACAACCTGTATTGTAATGCCCGAACCTAGGGTTTCTTTTCTTTGTTTTTAGGCGTTTGCTTTGCAGGTAAAATTAGGACTAATAATGGGTATAAAGATGATCAGGGAAGAGGGACGAACATGATGATGGTCCCCATTTGCATTTTCACGGCATGTAGTGCATTTTAGAATGAACCTAGGGATGTTGCTATGGACTCAAATCCGCAGGAAATAAACCAGGTTGTTCAAGGAAGAAGACGACCACGCGTCCTCTCCCAATTGGCTAGTTCAAAAATTACGCGCTTTTATTTTTTTATTCAGGCATAGTTGATTGTTGTGCATATAATGTTCATTGTTTATCCTATTAACAAAAAGAACCAATAGCTCAGCTGGAAAGGCGTTAATGCATGATCCATTGGGACCTGGGTTCGAATCCCAGGTCCCCCAATATTTGTTATTATTTTTCTCCAGGCAATTGTATGCAGCATCATAGGCATGGACCATCATGTTCTTCCAGATCTCAAACGCCAAGTGGCCTACAAATCAAATCCAATGGCCTAGGTTGGACATCCACCATGGTCTCTGGTCAACAGGCGCATATGGAATCACAGAAGTCCACAAAGGCCAATGTTAATGGGCCTGGAGATTTGCTGATTTCACCTTCAAATTGGGCCCAGCACCCCCCTCTGGTTATTTCTTTCCTTTTAATATTTTATTTATTTACTTGTTTTATTTTTATTATTCTTAATTAATTACTAACCAAAAAAATTAATAATTTTCCTCATAAAATCAGAAAACATAAAAAATAATATTTTTATTAATTTCACTATTTCATTATTTTTGTAAATAAACTTTAATCAATTAATTTAGTTTTAATTAGGGACAATTTTAATATTTTTTTTTGCAATAAATTAAAATTAATGTAGAATTAGGTTTTTTAATAATTTTAATCATTTTTATTTTTTTCCTTAAATATAAAAAATCCAAAAAATATATTTTTTCATTTGATTAATTAATCAACTTAGTTTTAATTTCTTTAAATTCAAAATAACAAAAAAAAATATGCTTTCTTTCAAAAAAGGGTCAAAACCCTAGAAAAATAAGCCGATTTAATTTTCTTCGCACGCGATTTATATTTCCAATATTGTAATTGCTTCTAGTATGTAATAGATTTTAATTAGGACTTTATTTATTTATCGCTTTCTTTTATTTTCTGCAATTTAAATTAAAGGGTTTGTCTTTGGCGATGTAAATACCCGACGCCTTGTAATAGCTTAGATTTAATTTCCGTAACTATACAATGTTAGATGTTTGATAATAGGGAATGCATGACAAGATTCAATGTATGAATCTAAAATCAACATAGCTCACCCATAACATGTACAGATAAAATTAACCGAAATAACACACTTGCACATGCCACTCTTAGGGTACACCTCACTTGGTTGCCTCGAACGTGGTCATTGAG